TACCCGGAGGAAGATCAACGAGTTCCCAAGTGTGATTTTGTAGGATAGAATCCACTTCACTTTTTATAGCCTCTTTCCACATTGGTCCTTCCGTAGAAGTCACAGTTTCTACATACGTTCGAGGCTCGTTCTCTATCAAACAAGATAGAAAATCGGGTTCATTTTCTAATAAACAAGTTAGAGTACCCGAATCGTACTCTAACAAGTAAGTTAGAAAATCAGGACCGAATGATTTTCCAACTCTCGCCCGCTTACTGCGTCTTGGCTCGAGCTCGGGTTCTTTCTCAGATTCCCCACTATAATTATCCATAGTTTCGTCAAACGTTCATTTTGACGTACTTGGTCCCTCGTTGGACCTAAAAGGAAATATATTTTCGAAGAAATATGCATTCCTTGATTATATTGTCGTGTTCTCAAGTACGTCCGGATTATGGGACTCGTGTACTAAGAACTGATAAGCACTACTATTATGTGCATAGCAAATAAAGATACAGTCCACCGTCTTAGGACCTATCTTTACTTTATTAGGTGTTGGCACCAATACTTTGGCAAGACACCCCACCCTTTCAGGTACTGGTAGGAAGGTTTCCTACCGTTCCACAGCTCATAAGGAGTCTTATCGAGCTTCTTGTGAGGTACCTTATTCAAAAGGTAATTACTTGTCAAAATCGCCTCACCCCACGCATCTTGAGGTAGGCCCGAACTTATAAGCATCGCATTCATCATATCTTTCAATGTACGATTCTTTCGTTCGGCAACACCATTCGATTGAGGTGAGTAAGGTGTCGTACGCTCGTGTATGATACCTACACTTGCACAGAAGTCACCAATCGGTGCTTCATACTCACCACCTCGATCGCTTCTAACCTTCTTAATTCTCCGATTAAGATGGTTTTCCACTTCATTCTTATAAAGAACGAATTTATCAGCGGCTTCGTCTTTGCTCTTAAGCAAATACACATAGCAGTATCGTGTGCTATCATCGATAAATGTGATAAAATACTTATTACCACCTCTCGTTTGTATCGATCTAAAATCGCACAAATCACTATGAATTAATTCTAGTGGTTCAGTTTCCCTTTCAACCGATTTGAAAGGTACTTTCGTTAGTTTTGCCTCAACACAATTTTCACACTTGTTATTTGTGTCAATTTGGAAGTTAGGAATATGGTCCATGCTAATTAATCTACGCATAGAATTAAAATTAACATGACCTAGTCTACCATGCCACAAACTGGAAGACTCAAGCAAGTAAACAGAATTAACTTTGCTTTTATTGATAACAGGGATTACATTGAGCTTAAAGAGCCCATCAGTTACATATCCTTTACCAACAAACATCCCTAACTTGGACAAAACTACTTTGTCTGACTCGAACACCATGCAAAAGCCATGCTTGTTCAACAGTGAGCCAGACACAAGATTCTTTCTTAGCTCAGGAACATACAGCACGTTGTTCAACGTCAGTTCCTTCCCGGAAGTCATCTTCAAAACCACCATGTCCATGCCTTCCACAGCAAACTGAGCAGAGTTTCCCATCCACACCTTTTCACCCTCAACGGTCTCAAAGGTGTTGAACATCTCTCGGTTGCAACACAAGTGCCTGGTTGCACCGGTATCAATGAACCACTCATGAGGGTTTGAGCCCACGAGGTTCACCTCGGTCACCATAGCCGAAAGGCTAATCTCGACCTCCTTCTGATTGCTATCTCCAACAACATTGGCTTCAGAACTCTTGTTCTTCTTCTTTGGAGCCTTGCATTCAGATGCTCTGTGGCCATGCTTCCCACAATTGTAGCATTCACAAGGAAACTTGTTCCTGGTAACGCCACCTTTCGGACCTAGCTTTCGCTTGTCCTTCTTGTTCCTCTTGGAGCTCTTACCGTGCTCCACAACATTGGCTTTAGCGCCAACAATGATAGGAACTTTCCTATCATTCGTCCTGTTCCCTTCCTCAATCCTGAGTCGCTGGATCAGGTCCTCCAGATTCATTTCCTTTCGCTTATGCTTAAGGTAGTTCTTGAAGTCCTTCCAACCTGGAGGCAACAAGTGGATCACAGATCCCACTTGGAAGGCTTCACTTAGCACCATGCCCTCGTCACGGATCTCATCAAAGATTAATTGCAAATCTTCTACCTGACTTAGCACGGTCTTTGAATCAACCATTTTGAAGTCGAGGAATCGGCCAACCACAAATTTCTTTGAGCTGGCATCCTCACTTCGGTATTTATGATCCAAAGCTTCCCACAACGCTTTTGATGTGCTTATCTTTCGATATACATCGTATAGCGTGTCACACAATCCATTCAGGATGTAGTTTCGGCAAAGGAAGTCCGAATCCTTCCAATAGCCAACCGCCATCACGGATTGTGCATCTTGTTCCTTCAACTCGGGAACCTTCTCGGACAAGAACCTTGCCAAGCCGAGAGTTGCTAGGTAAAACAACATTTTCTGTTGCCACCTCTTGAAGTTCGAACCAACACCGGTGAACTTCTCCTGCTTTTCTGCCGAACCACTCGGTACTGAAGGTACCCGAGACATGGGAATATATCCTTCAGTGCTCCCACCATCCTGTGAACCAACGTTCACTGGTGTAGCCTGGGAATTAGCAACATTGTTGCCATTTCCTCCATTGTTGTTCTCAACAACATTTTCTTCCCCATTGTTAACGATTGGCAACTCCGGGTTCTCCATTTCTTCAAGGAAATTCGAGAAAACAACCAACGGGAAAACAAGAAATAAGGTTTTAAGACTGTAGGAACCGTTGGTAGGAAAACAAATAATAATCAAATAAAATTGACTATTATTTTCTGGAAAGAAGGGAAGAAAATATGAAGGAATTTGGCTAGTGTTTGGTGTTGGGTTTTTGCAAGAGTCAAGTGAGCACTCTTTCCTTAAAACCTTATTTGCCACCTCCCAAAGATGCTAGGAGCGTTGTGGCCTAGGCTTCCCAGGATAAAACTTGCTAGTGATTCAATGTTTGAGCACTCAAACAAGGAATCCGGCGAGCAAGACACGGTTATGAACACAGTAGGCTAAAGAAAGGAGTAGAAGCAGAGAGGTTTTGAGGCTAAAAAATGAACTTTCGTGTTCTATATTTTCTGTGTGTAAAACTCTACTGCCCAACTCCTCTTTATATAGGGGTGAAGGATTTAATAGCTTTTAATTAGGCACTTAAGGGCACCCCTCCACCTTCCTGTAACAGCACCGTTAGCATGGCCTTCAATTCAAAATTAAAAATTGGAATTAACTCAGAGAATTAATTCTGTAACAGTAGAATTGAACAGCCAACGGTCACAAAACTGCACAGGTTCAGCGTAGGCCGAAATTTCCAGTTTCGACTAACAGTAGAATTGAACAGCCAACGGTCACAAAACTGCACAGGTTCAGCGTAGGTCGAAACTTCCAGTTTCGACCCCAGGCCGAAACTAGAAGTTTCGGCCATGGGCCCTTATCATGTCTCGGCCCGCAAGGCCGAGACTTCAGTTTCGGCTTATAGCCGAAACTACATGTTACTGGTTTCGGCCACCACAAGGCCGAAACCAAGGTGTGGCCGAAACTACCTACTGGTTTCGGCCACAAGGCCGAACCAAGGTGTAGTGGCCGAACCAAGGTGTAGTTTCGGCTACATCTTACAGTGGCGTGTTGGAAAATGACAGTCCGTTTGGCATAACTTAGCCCGTGCACACGAGCTCGGGCTTGAATCAAGCCTTTTTCAATCTCTGCTAGTTGGAATTTGATTTGCACCACCCCCCGCGCGATAAAGCCTCTATGCTATACAATTCTACCAGCTTCAAAAGCGCTCTTGTATATAAGGGGGGAAAATCTTCATTTCAAAGCAATGTGGGACAAAAGCTCACTTTTTCCCTTCATTTTCCAACTCAAATGGGTCTACATTGAGAATCAATATCTCATTCACCCATTATCCGTTTTGAGCGTACAATATATCAATCTCTTCGTCTCACTACGAAGAACCCGAATCCACTTTGACCCGACCCAAATCGGAAGTGGACCCCTCTGATAATTGTACCACAAAATAGCCACTTAACATGCCATTTTATGCCATTTTAAGCTATTTTTTCCAACACATTCCTATTACATCAAAATTCATTACGTGAACCAAACGTTCTGTTATATTAATAATGAGATGTGTAATTTATAATGTATTTTGTATTCTAATTATTTTATCAAATTAATTATGTTTCATATTTTGTTATGAACATTTTTATAAAGTTTTGAGATGTTTTATTTTTTACATACTCATTTCCGATAATATTTATGACTATTCTTTTAAGTGTTTCATTTTTTTTTTCAAACTATCTCTTTTGTTGTAATGTTCCGTCCCACTGAACAAAAATTCTGGCTCCGCCCCTGGGTCTAATTTGTTTTTCATCTTTAAGCAAAATCTTTATCATTATTATTACAAGGATGAGTGAACAGTAACATGAGAGATGTAAATGTTAGAGATCACAAAAGTAAAATGGTAATTTCATATTTAAGGCCAATCAGCAAACTAAAAACTCTAATCTTCTTAGCTTTTTAGATTTTGTCCTTATTGTCACAATAACCTAATGCAATAAATCATTTTACCAAACACTAGCCAAATTGACTTATAAGTTATGGTACCAAACATTGCCTTTGTCTTTCATTTTTCTCAAATTTAAATGATGAATTCTTCCATAGATAGATCAGATGTATTACAAACTTTCATTTCCATAAGATAGCAGTCTGAATAGATGCGATCAGCTTGCAAAACGCGGAATCCGGCCTCAGTATGACCATTTCGTATATATGGCGATGTAAATAAAACAACCTTTATTACAATATTAATCTATTAATCTCTTCGACAAACCCAACAATAATAATACCTCGATCTTGTCTAAATATGTTTCATACAATGATTCACACGCAATTGGTATTTGGTATATATACACACACCAAGGACTTCACTTTCCCATAGCTTGCATGCCAAGGAAAAAAAAAAAAATAACTAAGTAAGAAAGAGAGTGAAATCTTAATTTCAATCAAATGGCTTCCAAAACTATACTATACTCTATCCTCGTTCTCAGGATTTTCACTCTCATGCTCTTAGCAGCTTCCATCGCAGTCACACTCACCAACTTCAGCGACATCAACAGTTACAGGTATATTGTGTTTACTTTATTTTTTTTAAAAAAAGTTTTATAAGTACATCAAAAGTTATATATATATAGCGAGAGTTAATATCTAATTTAGTCTTTGACTTCGATGGTTTTACCCAATTGAGTCCTTGGCTGTTAGAATCAAGGACTAAATTAAAGCGAGAAAAATCACTATGGTCGATGACTAAATTGGGTAAAATCACTATAATCGAATACTAACTTGGGTAACACCAGGGCCGATTTTTAGAATTTTTGTGGTCATGTTCTTGTAAATAAATGAGGCTATACCAAAAGCACAATATTTAAAACCAATACCATAACCAAGTAGCTTGTAGTCCACTGGTATTAGATTGCTTCCCTATGTGGGAAGTCTAGGTTTTGAGCCTCACTATTGACACGCGTTTCTACTGTTTCTCCATGGAGTCTTATTAATTGTAATTTTTTTTAATTGCTTAACTAACTAGGTAAAAATTAAATATTGGGCCCTCTAAAATTTGAGGTCATGTGCTGTTGGGCAGCTTGCATAGTCCAAAATCCGGTCCTGGGTAAAACTACCATAGTCGAAGACAAAATTAAGTATTAAATATTAAAAAAAGGTTAAATTACCAAACTATCTTAATTCTTAACAGAGAACTCAATTAGGTAAAATCATCAAAGTCGAGGACCTAATTAATTAAGCACAAAAAGACGTTTAGGACTAAATAAAAAAAATCACTATAGTCGAGGACTAAAATGAGTAAAATCACTATAATCGAATACTAACTTGGGTAAACTACTATATTCGTGTACTAAATTAAGTATTAATAGAAATGAAATTACTAAATTATCTTAACAGAAGATTCAATTAAGTAAAACCGTCAAAGTCGATAACCTAAAGCACAAAAAATCGTTTAGTACTAAATAACAAAAATTACTATAGTCGAGAATTAAATTGGGTATTTAGTTAATATAGCGACATCAAAATGACAAGTTATAGTGATCTCTATTCGGAAAATTTGCAGGTATTTTCTTGCTGTGGGAGCGGTGGGTGCTCTATACACATTAATTCAGCTGCCCTTTGCCATGTATCATGTCGTGAAGGAGAAGAGGATGATCCGTGGCATATTTCTGCCTAATTTTGATTTCTATGGGGATAAGGTTATGGATTTTATATTTATTATTTAAACTAATTTATAAAATCTAAAAATAAAAACAATTCAATTTTATTACGGAATATTTATTTACAATTTATTACACACAACTAGATTACATGTTTTTGTAATCTGATTTATTACGTGTGATGTTTACAGGTAATAAGTTTTCTCTTGGCAAGTGGAGTTGGCGTTGGGTTTAGTGCGAGTGTTGAGTTAAAAGATACTATTCGTTCTTTGGTGGAAAATTTTGAATTTTTATTAGCCAGCGATCCACGTATAAGCCTGGATGGAATTGAAGAATTCAGAACAAAATTGAATAAGTTTTTTGATAGAGAGCTGATAGCAAGTGGCATTCTCCTAGGAGGATTTGTTACTATGGCTATTCTCTCCATTCTTTCATCACTTAACAAGTCTAGGAAAAGATTCTGAAATGTTCAAATTGTACCAAATAATTCTAAATAATTAAATCCTATTTGTATGCCAATATTATATTCTAGATGATATCATTTCCTAATAAAGGTTTTGGAAAGTTTCCTATTGTAGATGTTGAATATGTTTGGATGAATGCAATTGGCATGAATCATTTACTACAGCTCACCCAATCTTGGAAATCTTGAAAGAAAATATTGATAACTCCACCTCTAAAACAAAAGAAGAAAGTATTGATAACTCCAAATTTGACTAGTATTGAATTTGATTAGATTTTTATAAGGAATTGTTGGAGTAGCACAACTTGAAAAGCTTTGGATATGTAAATCATTCTTCTCCGGAATACTGCATATTGAACTAGTGAGTTAAGTCTATGCGGGTAAGGAGATGTAAATCTTAACCAGGAAAAAAGCAAATACTTCCTCTCAATGCATCTTTATTATGGTACTAAAAATTAACGTTTGATTATTGTCAACACCTCATTGGTTAAGTATGTCGCACATAGTCTTCCTAATGTGATTTACTTCTTATATGTGATTTGCATGCTATTACATAGCAGTATGGTTTATCTTGTGTACACTCTCAGATAGTGGCTATGAATTTTCCTAATTATTTAAAAGACACAACTCTTTTGTGAGATACTGAAAAATATCTATAAAAAGAATAACTCATGTATGAGGCTGTGTTACGTAAAATGTGTAATACTTCTTATGGATTCATAAAAGCATTATACTTTAGTTAAAAGCGCCATGTTTGGTAACATAGTAGCTTATCAACTAATTTTGGCTTATTTGGCCATTATTAGCTGTTTGACTTGGTTAAACAACGAATATAACCAAAGCAATCATTATTGTGTGGACCATCTGGACCATATTTTGTGTACTGTAAAATAATGTATATTCAGTACAAAAATAATGTACATTCAGTACAAAAATAATGTACATTTAGTATATTAAAAATGTACTTTTTGTTATGGTCCACATAACATTGTGTGGACCGTCCATACAATAATTTGCCTAACCAAAGAATAATAACCAATTTACTAAACATCTTACTACAGTCAATCAATACTATCAACTAATTAAACCCACTATCACAATCATCTAATAGCTATCAGCTAACAACTACTTACCAAACACCCCAAAATCTATTCCAGCAAAAATAAAAAAAAAGGGTACTACATTACTTAATGCTGATAAGGTTAGGTTGTGATTCAACAAAAAAAGTTAGCACTTTACGTTGCAGCTTTTAATCGGTTTATTGGGCCCATCTTCATATTATATTGGGCTTGGGCTAATGGACACTTCAGAAATTGATGGATTACAATATCTGTTGACTAGTCCGCTCTTGGGCCGAGAAATTAAAGAAGAAGCTTTTCCAGAAGGCAGACAACGATTTATAAAGGCTGATATGAATCTTTTTTTTTTTTTTTTGAAAACCAGCTGATATCGAATCTTATTTAAACAGTGATTTAATATTTTAATGTATGTCATTCTATATTCATAATGATTAAACCAACACCTTATGCAAGAAAATTGAATTTTACCCCGAGACTTAGCATAGTGATTTGTCATTTGACTTGATGTCACGACTGAATGCGGCCGTGTGAGAGTTTGAATTCCACGAGAAATATGAATGGAAAAAAGTCATGAATAATGAAAGGTGTGAATTCCGGTGGGTGAGCTGATTATGCGGTTCGTGATTTACCTTTATAGTGACTATAAATGCGAGATCTTATGAGCTTTTTTCTTTAAATATACATAAATACTAATTTTTTATTAGTTTCTTTTTAGACAAGTATTTTTTTAAAATTTTTTTAATAAAAGGAAAATGACAATGAAATGTTTTATAAATTTGTGAGAAGAAATCTTTAAGGATTAAACTTAATATTAACTCTTAAATATTGGAATATTATCGATGAGACTTGAACCCGTAATCTCGATTTGAAGTAGTATGAATGTGTTAACATATATTGGTTAAAACTTTTATCCACTTGGGTCTAGTTAGAGGCGGCATCATGGCTCCCACTCTTAAAGTTGTTTAAGTTAGGATGTTCACTTGGTAACTATAAGATCAAGAAAGATTTGTTGGTCTTTTTGATTCGAGCCGGTCAGTAATAACAACCAAAGCTGGTTTACAATTTTTTGGTGGCTAAGGTCACAAGACAGGGTTTACCCAACAATACACTTCATAGTGACTGTCGATTATCTAAAAAAAGACAAAAATATATGTGCAGTGTGCTTAACAACACACACTCGCATACACAAAGTGTACGTACGTGCAGTATGTATGTATAACGAGAATTCAATGCACCATTCCTAAGATTCAAAACCCTCCATGTGATGAGTTGTTCCCAGCAGGGATGGAGTGGAGTGGTGAGTGGGTGGTCATCAGTTTCAGAAGAATTGAAAACCACATTGGAAAACAACACTCGCAGGAGGATCAAAAGACATGCAAGACAACCTAGAAAGAGACAGATATATGTTGGGATAAACTTTAATTTGTCACTTGCAACCAAAAGCTACTTATTATATTACAAACTAGCTAGCAGCTTTCTTCATCATATTTCCATGGATTGATCTTTTCTCTTCCATTCCATTATATAATTTACTGTCCTTGTCATTCTGCTCACTGTTCATCCATGATGTCCCTTCTGAGATCGACCTCTCACATGATCTCTCTATCTCTCTTGACAAGCTTTCCTGTGGGAGATAAAGTTCCACATCATTGTTACAATCTAAATCTTAGTCACTGTATGTTATTAATCATCCACATATATATGTTAACTCCTTTACCATCTAATTAAGGTTAGACAACTCTTTACTTAAGCATTTATAATCACTACTATATATCGTGCACCAGAGTGTATTAGGGCGGTTTTTGGATTTTTTTGTCCCTGTTCTTGTAAATAAATGATGCCTACTTAAAAGTATAAGGGCAATTTTTAAAACTAAACCATAAGAATCATACTAATTAAGTACTAACCTATTATCTCCAAAGACCAAACAAATAGAAAAATTTAAAAAAAAAAAAACATTTTGAAACTACCTGGCTAGTGGCTACCTGCTGGGCTGCCGCTATCGCTTGGAATGCAAGTAGAACGATCTATTAGGGGAAGAATCAATTTGTCATGCGGTATTGGTGGTGAACTGGTGAATGGTACAAGTTCCAAGTTGTCTTTGCAGATTCAGGGCTTGAGACATCATCTGTGCTGTGAGGGAAACTGAATTGTTTTGTCATACGGCATGCTCAATTAATTAGGTCATAATTATTATGAAAGAGAAGTGATTTGGGGAAAAAAATTGAAGAGTTTACGAATTAATTGTTCATTTTTTTTAAAAAAAAAATTCTTAAGTTGCTAGGTCAAAAATAATTTTTAGAACTTCTAAAAATTGAGGCCTTGCGCTCTTAGATAATTTGCACAGCCCAAAATCCGTCCTTAAAATGTATAAACGAAAGTTATATCTCTATCACTGGGTGGGTGAAACCATAATTTTCGTACTTGAATTTCATAAGTTTGACTTTGTCTATACGTAGGCAGTGACTGTGGTAAATAAAAAATAAAAAATAAAAAATTATAATCCTAATCCTGATATATGTATATCTGGACCATCTGGTGCTCGCTGAAATGCACAATACAATTTGCGTGTACCAATTAGTCAATGAATATTAAATTATTAAACACGTGTCAAACGAAAATTTTTAAAAGAAAATATATATTGTATTTGTCAAAACAATTTAAAACATTTATATGTTATTGAAATTTATAAACGTCTACAAAAGAAATATTTCTATATCATATTGAATTGGAGTAATTTTTTTATTTAATCATTTGGTAAAAGCAAAAACTCTTGACAGTATGACATGTCAAAGTACCTATGAAGTCCTTGTACTATAGTGTTTTGTTCAATTTAGTCCTTGTACCTTTATTCAGTTCAATTTAGTCCCTCAACTTTAAAAAGTGATAAAACTAAAGACAATTGTCTAAATCTCATTACAAACATGGTCGTAATTATTTATTTTGGACATACTAATTTAATATATTGGTGGTAAAAATGATAGATTTTAAATATTTATAAAGTAATATATGAGTAGGAATATAAATATCATCAGTGCCACGTAACCTAAGTTAACGATAATATTAACATCGTTAACTATTGTCCTTAATTGCATTACTTTTGAAAGTACAGGGACTAAATTGAACAAAATAAAAGTATAAGGACTAAATTGAACAAAACGCTATAGTACACGGACATCGTAGGTACTTTAACCCAGTATGACACCATCTTATGGATCATCATCTGTGACACCGATCGGGTTCTTTATAAGTATTATATTTTTTTGTTATAGATAATTATTCAACTCTTGAACATTACATTTTGATTTAAGGGTTTGTTTGGAAACCCGACTTCTGGAAGTTAATTTTTTTTTTTTTTGAGATTTTTTAGTGTTTAGGTATTCAAAGAAAATAAAGACAAAGAAAAATATTCATTCTGATCAATAAAAAAAATGCTCAATTTAGCAAAAAATTTCTTTTTAAATTTTTAGTCGTGAAAGACATTTTCTAGATTTTTTTTCATTTCTCTCTCATCCCTCTTCAAGCTAATTTCTAGATATATTATTATTACTACAACACCACCACTTATTATTATTATTATTATTATTATTATTATTATTATTATAATTATTATTATTATTATAATATAACAAATAATATGTTCATTTTCAAGAAAATAGACCTGACAAAAAAAACGTAATTTTTTTTTAACTTTCATACATACAGAAAAAGATAATTTTCTAACATTAGTCAAACACCAAATTAAAATATTCTTTTTTTTTTTTAAATGAATCATTTTTTGAAAATCATTTTTTAAGTTTTCAAACAGACCTTAAAAGTATTACATTGTTTCTCATAAGTAACAATTAATTTATCCTTGATTCCATGATTTTTTTTAAAAAAAATCTAAAAGAGAGCGGGGCAACCCCGGGGGAGAAAGACAGTAGCTACTCTCCCACACTCTGCGAGCACATGTGGCATGCACCATGATTCCACGATTAGTATTACACATTTACTCATAATTATTATACTTTCCCTCAAAATAAGTAAAATCAATCAATTTATCATGAT